AACATTTTAAATAATTTAATTGTTATTTTTATATTTCAGTGAGATTTTATTTTTATCTTTTCTAAATAAAAGTTAAAAAAACAGAATGAAATTTGTACATTAAGCTAATTATATGACTGTTCTGAATTTTCTCTTATATTCATTAATTTTTAAGCTCAATATAACTGAATTTTATATTACTTAAAGAACGTGTTAGTGAGATTAAGTGCCTGTATATTTAAGATTAATAAATAAATAATTTTTAAATATTTTAAAGATCTTATAAAAGAATTTATTTTATAGAGATTTAAATAAAAGCAGGTAAATTTTATATTGATTAAAATAATAAAAAATAAGTATTACTCATTTATTTTTAAACTTATGATATTTTCCTAGATTTCTATTTTCTAAAAATAATTTATTATTTTAAAATTTTATGATATCTTCACATGTCTTATTTCTCTAAAATGTTCTCTCTCATATGTCATAAACTTGCATTAGATTATTTGTAAAGGTTACATAAAGTAGTTTTTTAAAATAATCCGACTTTTTTTACTCTAGTTGTTTTAAGCATTATAAAAATTCTTAAAATAATTTTTTAAAAAAAAGTAATTTTTTTATAAAATGAGTAGAAATAAACAGCCATTAAAATAGGAAGTACATGAGAACATTAACTAGGTTCTCCTGAATGATAATATCTTCAAATTCGCTCTTCGGTTCTTCCAAATAGGCACAATTTCTCCCTTAGCAAGAGCAAACATTAACACCTTCAAGCTGCGAAAATGCCCCCTCTTTCTTGAAAACTAGAGACCCGGCATGAATATTATTATATTATTCAATTACTTAAAATTTAACCTAATCTAAAAGCCTATTTAAAAATAAATTTTTTAAATATTCTCACATTTTAATTTTAAATATTTTAAATATACTTTAAAATTATTAGTATAAATATACAATCTGATTTATCAATTAAAATATATAATAATTAAAAGAATTTGTTACAATATAATAATAAAATATAATATTAAAATTAATATATAACTTAAATCTGATTAAAAATATAATTAAAAATATAAAAGAATATATTAATTAAAAATTAAATAATGAAACTGATATGTGTGTGTGATATATAACATAATACACACACATATATAAATAAGTTGACTTATTAAGCTTGTATGTTAGACTTAATTAATGATTTAAACTTAAGTTTATTTAATAAATAAATTGAATTGTATATGAAGTGAGATAGGATGTATGTTTTTAACAATGACCTGATCTGTTCTCGTCCGTAATCACGATAGGCCTCATAACCGATCAGTGGATGTAACGCTCTCTCTACGCGCGTGGGAATGGCTCTCAGCTTGCACACCCTTTTTGGCGAACGGCTCCAACCTCCAGCGTCCATGCATAATTCTCACTCCACCATCCTCCCTCCCTCTCGTCCACCCCCTCCTATCTCACTCAATAAAAATTCCCTTTTCTTTGTTTCTTTCTTGCTCGTCCGCCAGTCGCCATTTCTCTTCTGACTATTTCTCCTTCATTCTTTCTCTTTCCGGCGAAATTCCTTTCTTTAGAATCGGACACTGCCAGGTCCACTTTCTGATTCTCTCTGCACTGGTAAAACACATTACACTTCCATCAAGCTTTGGAAAGAAACGCAACCTGACTCTTTGCCCACCCTTCTTTCTTTCTTTATTCACTCTGGGAGGTATCTACGACACGTGCTTTTCACTTGACCAATGGCGGTTCCTCTAACGGTTGCCGCCGCACGGGCTTCACTTTACGTCGGCGACCTCCACCCTGACGTCAGCGATGGACAGCTGCTCGAATTGTTCTTGGAGTTCAAGAGCCTCACTTCTGTTCGGATCTGTAGGGACTCCTCCACCGGCAGGTCTCTATGTTATGGCTATGTCAACTTCAACTCTCCTCAAGATGGTATATACAATTTCTTGATCTGCGTTTTAACTTTTCCTTTTCTTTATTGTTATCCATTTTGTAGTTCTTTTGTCTACTTTGATTCCTGAAAAAACGAAGGAAACTCTCAGAAAGAGGGAGCTCGCTTGGTGGCAAATGTAGCTTTTAGAATAATGTATTTGTTTATGTGCGTGTATTGGGCTGTTGGCATAGAATCTGATTATAAGAACCAACGAAGAACTTTATACATAATGCTGTTAAATTATTCAACAGTTTGAATGAGATCTTGATTTCGACAGAGAGATATTGTTTCTTGCGTATTTTATCCTTCACTGTCTTTTCGCTGTGTAAAAGATATGAAAATCATTTCAAGTGACGTTCTAGGAACTACTAGTTTTCCATTGATTCGTCTCTTTTCTGAAGTACAACGGAGGCTTGATTGTTACATGATTTTCTGTTTTTCCAAGAATCCCCTCTACATATAATTCAAATTATATATTTGTTAACTTCGACTGGTCTCTAGCTACCTGCTTTAAGTTGCGGGAACAATAAACCGGCGTTGTGGCCTGAGTCTCATTTCCGATATGCTTGGATTAAGAAATTGTTTATTTTGCAGGGTGCAGCGGTAGTGAACATAATATTTTCGTTCGTTCGTTCGTTTTTTTTTTTTTTGGGTCGTTGCCTAGTCTCTGCGCATTATTTTAGTTAGATGTTGAAAAGCAAATTCTTATAAATCTGAATTTTATTTACCGGGGGTAACTAAGTTCAAATCTTTGTGAAACTTTCATATTATTTTTCAACTTCTTTAAGAAAATTACAAGATTTAGTAGCTTTAGCTCCAGTTATCTTAAACTGTTATTCTTGATTTGAATAGCTATTCGTGCTATTGAGGTGAAGAATCATTTTAAACTGAACGGGAAAATGATAAGGGTCATGTGGACCCATCGTGACCCCGAAGCAAGAAAAAGCGGCAAAGCGAACGTATTTGTTAAGGTACATGTCCGCTGTTCACCTAACTCGTAATTGATCTCTGATTCATTATTATTTTTGAAGTGGATTCTGATTGAAACTGGCTCTGTTATCATGACAGAACTTAGCTGAACCTATAGATAATGCGGGATTACACGAACTGTTTCAAAAATTCGGGAAAATCTTGTCCACCAAAGTTGTCACGTCTGAATATGGGAAGAGCAAGGGGTATGGCTTCGTTCAATTTGAGTCAGAGGACTCTGCAAATGTCGCCATTGAAAAGCTGAATGGCTCCACTGTTAGAGATAAACTGATGTAAGAGTTAAATTCTGCATTGTTTGATGTTACGTTGACATTAGTCAAACTTGCAGCTTGCTGGTTAGTGTGCTGCGCACTAACCTTACAAATCGCAAGTTCGAATTGGCAGAGACCTAAAGAAATCCTTCTAATTTTTTAATTCCTTGCTGTATTCAATTTCATATATACCTCTCCGAAAACTAAGTTTAATGGAACTAATCTGGTCACAGATATGTTGGTAAGTTTGTCAAAAAAAGTGAACGTCTCTTGCCCGGTCCCGATTCCAAGTTCACGAATTTGTTTATGAAAAATCTGGACCCAGAGACCACAGAAGAGCTTCTGCAGGAAAAGTTCGCCCCTTTTGGAAACATTGTTAATTTGGCTGTTGCTAAGGACAACAATGGAGTATCAAAGGGTTTCGGCTTTGTGAACTATGATAATCCAGATGATGCTAAACGGGCAATGGAAACCATGAATGGATCACGACTAGGTAGGTTTCTTATGAGCAACATTTGCAATTTCTTGACGATGATTTCCCATATTAATATATAATGTGATTTATTGGTTTGTCATAAGCAGGTTCGAAGATTATATATGTAGCCAGAGCGCAAAAGAAGGCTGAGCGTGAAAAGATCTTGCACCATCAGTTTGAGGAGAAGCGTAGGCAACGGATCTTGAAATATAAGGTAATCCGTGCCCCCTTTCTTTTTAGATTTAACTTACATTTCCTTCTTGATTGTCTTATAGTAAGTCTTGGTTTATATTTCAGGGATCAAACATTTATGTGAAAAACATTGATGATGATGTCAATGACGAAGAACTAAGACATCATTTTAGTTCATGCGGGACAATAACGTCTGCTAAAGTTATGCGGGACGACAAAGGAATAAGCAAGGGGTTTGGTTTTGTCTGTTTCTCCGCTCCTGAGGAGGCCAATAGAGCTGTAAACATTTTCCATGGTATGTTAATGTTGTTATAGCAGTGAGTCCGTGGATGAATGAGTTTTGCTACTTTATTAATATATTACGGTGCTAAAAAGATTGATCGTCAATCTTGAAAGACAAAACTTCCGGGTAAACCAGAACCTTGAGCGGTTTCTATTTGAGTGATTTCAATATGAACTACCTGCGTTAAAACTCATGTCCCCATTCTAATTTGAGTGATTAGCGGTACATTATTAGCAAATGATTGGTAGAGGGCTGCTTTTAAGGTCCTTTTGATCACTATTAACTTCTTCTCAAGGAAATATTTTTTAGCTTCTTCTCTCTATCATGTCTGTATGTGTTTCTTTTTCATTGGTTCATTCTGATCTAGCGGATTTTACAGCTAACGTTCCAAGCTTTTTTCCCCCTTCCATCTTTCAATGAAGATATAGAAATATTAGGATTATTTAGGATTCTACGAAGGGCTACTGGTCTTCGAGGTACTTCGTCATGTCGGTCTACTTGGTTACTTTTAATCAAATTGATTTTCATGTCACAGGATGCATGTTTCATCGTAAACTGCTATATGTTGCCATAGCTCAAAGGAAGGAAGACAGGCAAGCACAATTAAAGGTGCAGTATGCACCGGGAATAGCAGGACTAGCTGGACCTCCAACCGCTGTTATACCTGGTGGATATCCTCCTTACTACTACGAAGCCACTGGTGTTGTTTCACAGCTGCCATATCGACCCGGGCTAGTTTATCAACCGCTGGGATTGAGGCCAGGATGGAGGCCTAACGGCTTTGCACCTCCAACAAGACCAGCTCAACAGGCTCCATTTTCTGTTGTGAGTAGCAACTTTGCTTGATGAATTAACAACCCACCTATTTCATTTATCTTGCCCTGTTTACAGTCCACTCAGAGTTATTGTCATTGTTGTATGGCGGTTCAATGTGTCGTAATATATACTTCTATTTCTTTCCATTCACAGCCTGCTACTTCTATGAGGCCGCACAGACAAAACAGGAGTAGGATGAATGGGCAGGCAATTTCGCAGGGGAATGTTCGCTTGGGTAAATTCATGCCACAAGCACAACACCCTTCGCAGCCAATGGTCTCTTCAAAAGAATCAACTACTCGGCAGGTTCGCTTTGCTTTTGCTGCTCAGGAGTGGCAGCAGCAAAAGCAACTCCTTGGCGAGCATATTTACCGACGGGTACATAAACTCAAGGTACTGCCATTGCATTATTTCTTTCCTGTCTCATTGGGATTTGATGTTAAATTTCTTAAATTATTCACTGAAAAAACTTGTTTATAATGTCATTTCGAATAGCCTAGCCTGGCAGCGAAGATTACTGGGATGCTCCTGGAAATGGAAATTGGTGAATTGCTGCTTCTCCTGGAATCTCCAAGATCTCTTTTTGCCAAGGTGGAAGAAGCTGTGCAGGTGCTTAAGAACTCCAAGACTTGAGTGTCGGGCCAGGATGCACTTCATCCGAGCAACTTTCCAGCTGAGGTTGCTGTGAACTGAAGACTTCAACTTGAAGCCAATGACTTGAGCGAAACTTCTGGAGACCCAGATTTTTGTTCATAATTTTTGACATGTGAGATTCAGAGATAGCTTTGTTTTGGATTTTGATTTCAATGCTTGACTAAAGGATGAACTTGAGCTGAAGATCGTTTACTTTTTCGTTCAATTACATCTCGTGGTTTAAGATTCTCTGATGCTGACCCACTGGGAACCGCACGACAAACCAACAAAAATTTGTAGACTGCATTATCACAACCAGCCCGTCAAAATTTCGGGGGACTGAGATCTGATACAAAGGAAGCCTAAAAAGAAATTAAAATATGTTGTGAATGTTAATACGGAAAAAAACTTGAAACATTCACATTGAATGAATATAAGCATAGTTATTTTTTGATTCATGATTCAAAATGACTGGAGTTAATATTAATATTAATATTATCATGAAATATCGTAAAATTATTAATTTATTATAGTGTTTTGATGATATACAATAATTTACATTAATGCATTTTTTTTTTGGGAAATGGCATTAAGAGACATGAAGATTGAATTAAACTTAAATAAATATAAAAAGATTAGGAAATTCAAAATAATGATAAAAAATTTTTAGTAAATTGGTCTAAAAATTTGTTACTCTCATTTCATAATTTGCAGCTTTAAAATAAAAAATTGCATGTAAGATTTACTAATTTGTAAAAGAAAAATATGTTAAATATTCTCTTTAATCCTATTTATAAGCTACTTTCAACATGTTTTATCAAAATCAATGAAAATCTTAAATCTCGTTAACTTTATTTTAAAATTTAATAAGTTTTTATCTTTATTCTTAATAAATATTTTTAAATCTCATTACTGATATTTTTATTCATAACATTTAATAAGAACAAAAATGTAAAGAGGAGCATTAAAAATTGATAAGTGTCCTGTAAATAAGAACTAATTTTTTGCTCTCTCCACTCTATGAACAGGACTAGAGGAGTATAATGACTTGGAAATCGTTTTCTTTAATAAAATACCCAATCTTCCGTTCAAATTAGTGTTTTGAGGGTTAAGAATTTTTTTTTAAAAAAAAGAACAGCAAAATACCGAAAAGGATAGTTTGTTTAATAAAATTTCTTTTTATAAATTATTGATTTTCACTTGTAAATTTTTACTTCTTCCGTTAAAAAATATAAGATATTTTTAATTAAATTTTATTATTTAATAAAGTAGTAATTTATTTTTAAACTAACACTATCTTTTTATATTTACCTTTATTTAATAAGGTGTTTTATTCTAAAAAATATAAAGTAATTTATTCAATAGCGACAGTTTTAAAAAAAGTAACAATTACACTTTAAAGACTCTAAATGCCTTACATTTTTTAATATTCAATTCTTTAAAAAATGTCCTATATTTTTAAATGGAAAAAATATTAGTTATAACTCATGTAATGAAAATAGTAAATTTTTATAATAATTCACTAAAACCATTGATTTTTATTTCAAATTTTCAAATCTTTTCATTTTTATTTAAGTTTAATAAATCTATGTCTAATAATATTAATATTTAAATTTTTTTAAAAAATTAGTTTAATAAACTAGAAAGCTGTTTAGAGATTGAAAATTGTAAAATCAAGTTAAATGGGACAATATCTAAAATTTTTTACTAAAAAAACTAAATTTTAATCCTCATTTTTATTTAAAGTAAATAAAAGAGGAAAGATAATATTTTATTGAGTTTTTTAAATAGACAAATATAATGTGTTATAAAATTTTATTTCATAGACGTTAAAAAAATTAAAAATTAATTAAAAATTTCTGACCACAATTCTTCAATTTTTTAAAATTGAGGTCACCAAAATTTAAAATCCTACCTCTCAATCATTTTCTTTGATCCAAACAAATTATAAAAATTAATAGAAGTTAAATTATGAGTAAATATTAATTTAATAATTTTATAAAAATAATAGTTTATAGAAAGTATGAAATAAAATTGTATATATGGTTATAGATAAATAATTATAATAATAAAAATTAACTATATATTTTATTTCCCCATTGTGATTAAAAAATAGAAATAATCAATAATTTGTTTTTTCATAAAATCTGTTATCCCATATATAATCAAATATAGGCAATAATTTATTTTAACCTATAATTTATTATAATCATATAAATTAAAATTCTAAAATGTATAATAATAAAAAATCTAAAACAGGTATCTTGTTTTAGAATATTTTTCTTTTAAAATATATGAACATCTTATTTTATTTTTGTATAGGCTATATATAATAAAAGGAGGATAAAAATACTTTTCGTTAGTAGAGATATTCACATTTAATGCTCAATTATACCTCAAATAGAATTATTTTTAATAAGAGAATACTTATTAACAATAAAAAAGATAACAATCTATTTTTTTCTTACATAAATTATTTTAAAATATTATATCATCTGCATATAAAAAATATAAAATTTTTTTAAATGTGATCTCCAGGTAAATTAAAATTTAAAAAGCATATTTTGGTTAAAAATTTATTACTTGTAAATATAAATAACTACTTATTTTATTTAAGAATTTCTTATACTTGTACATATAAAAAATGTAAATAACACATTTTTTTATATTATCTAACTAAGTCAAATTGGAGTACTGTTCAATGCAATTTAAAATCACTCTTTCAAAAATAATTTTTGTATTCACGCAACTTTTTATTATAAAATTCTTCATCTTTTTATCAACTTATTTTCTTATATAACTTGTCATTTTATATATATTAAAAACACAAATGACATTTTATAAGAAAATTTATTACCTTTATATTTTGTTATTAAAATTTTAAAATTAAAAATTAAATTATAACGTACACAAACAAAAAATATATTAAAAATACTATCATTCAATATAGATTATAACTCATTCTATTTTATAATTTATTATCTAATGCATATTTAAAAAGTGATGATAAAATTTGCTTCAATAACAATTTAGTCATTCAAGTTTGCCTCAGTGACAATTTAATCATTTAAATTTACTTTAATAATAATTTAATCTTTCAAGTTTATTTTTTGAAGAAGAGGTAATATATTGTTGAAATTTGTTAATATACATAAAAAATATTGAATTGATAGTCACATAAATTAATGATAAAATCAAATTCACTTGAAGGCATATTTATTTTTATTTAGCCATATCCAATTTGTCAGGTTTTAACATACTTTATATGCCAAATTAACTTAAGATTCAATTTTTATTTCAAAACCTAAAATATTAAAGTAACAATTTAAGAAAACGTAAGGAATTAAATTAATAAAAATTGAACTTGAAAAATAAATCAATAATTAAGGAAATTTGAGGGACTTGAAGGTTCATTTTATTTTTAAAAATAAACAATGTACTTTATTTTAAAATTCATTACCCATGGATATTAAGTATATGAACACCAACTTATTCTAGTTTAAAATTTGTTTTACAGGATAACAAATTAAAAATGCATCTTATGCGTAAAAATAAGCAATTTATTTTATAAAATTTTGTTTTATTATAATTTATTTCCCTATGCAAGTAAATCTAAATTTCAATGAATATAGACTTGAATTTTTATAATTTGTCAAAAAAATTAAATTTATAATTTTATTATAAGTTTTTAAGTTACTTTTTTATTACTCGTTCGACATTTAACATGTATGATAAAAAAGCAGATATTATTATATAATAGAATATCTTACACTCCCTCCGTTAAAAAAATAAAGTCAATTTTAACTGAATTTTACCTCTCAATAAAGTATTTATTTATTTTTAAATTAACTTTATATTTTTATATTTGTTCTTATTAAATACCCCATAATAAATATAAAGTCACTATCAATAATGATATTTTTTAAAAAAGATAATGATTATGTCTCAAAAATTAAAAATTCTTTACATTTTTGAATATTCAATTCCTTAAAAAATGTTTTATTTTTTTGAACAGAAGGAGTAATAGTCAAATTAAATTGAATAGTTATTATCATACCACATGTGACACTTATTAAGTGATGTGATTTATTTCAATCATTAAATCTAAATATGATATATTTCAAAAAATTACTATAGTTCTATTATGTATAATTCATTGACAAATTTTACTATATATTTTCTCAATTTTTAAATATAAGGAAAATTTTTATATGGTTTGTTGTTTTTTTTATAAGCAAAAAAAATTCAAAAAATATTTCTGACATTTTTTCTCAATTACTCTTCATTAAATGATAATATCATTAAATTAGGAAAAAATGAAATGTTAATCACAAATAAATCTCAATCTAAACTTTTTAATTTCAGACATAATAATTAAAATTTACTTATATATAAAAATGAATGAGAATAAATTGATTGATTTAAATAATAAAATAATCTATTTTATGATTTATTATTTAAATTTTTATGTTTTATACAATCAATTATCTAATACAAATATAAAATACAGGCAACAAATGATAAATCTCCTACATTTACAAAAAATATTAGACCCCATACATATTATTTTTTTATGAGTCTCATTTTTGCAAGTATTTTTTACTATGAGTTCTACACTTATTTTCTTAATTTGTATGTTATATACAATTAATTATCTTATACATATACAAAAAAAAGCAATAAATACTAAATTTCCTACACTTACAAAAAAAAAATTAAATCACATAATATTGTTTTATGAGTCTCATATTTACAAGTATTTTTTACCATGGGTCTCACACTTATTTTTTTAAATTTTTATTGTAGGTTCCATATAAATTCTTACTATACAAAAATAAATTTTTTTTAAAAATATGGTTCATTCAACTATAGAGAAGCAATACCATATATGCACTTTACTATATATATTGATGATGATGATGACCATGTTCTCAAATAGAGTCAGTAATTTAGATGAGTTGTGCTTATTTGGATCGGGTTTAAAATATACTATCTTTTTTAAAAAGCTTATATAAGTAAGCCCGACCCTAATACTTTCGGGCCGGCCCGAATGTCTAAAACTTTTAAAAATATTTGTTCTTTATTTTTTGAATTAATTTTAATTTTTTAAAAAATTTTATTAAGCATAAAATATTATTTTAATTTTAAAAGAATAAAATAAAAAATAACTTATCAATCTCATACTTAAGTAGCTTTGTTATTATTTTATTATATTATGTATAATTTATTTAT